GGGAACGAATACGGCGACGAGCAGGTTTTAAGACTGTATTTTTGAAAAAGTCGCTTAAAACCACCGTTGTGTATGACATCACGCGAGAAGACGGCATAAATCACGAGCAAAGGAATTGTTTGCCTTTTTTTTTTCTTTCTTCTTTTTTTTTTTTTGTGAAGCTTCAAAAAAAATTCCGAGCCACTCAAGTGTTTTAAAGGGGTGATTTTGATTTTCAGAATAAAATCACTTTCTGTCATATCTGTTCAATCAGTCCAATTGACTTGATGGCAGGGCTGAACAATTAAAAAAAAAAAAAAATAGCTTACCGCAAGATCCCCCTCGCTTGACTGCGTAATGTTAGGGGCGCATCGGGCTGCACTGTTTCAGTGGTTCACAATTGCAGTCCTTGACAAACCTGGATTCAAACGGTGGTTATCTTAAAAACCTTGATTAACTTTAGTGCATTGGCAACGATTTCAGTCCCATTTTAATAGCCATACAATTGGCAAACAAGTTCACCGCTGTAAAAACAAAAGGCACGCAATGCGTTCATGATGGCCAAAACTGCATCTATTTGATATTTAATACTCTTGGACAATGATTTAGAATTGCAAATCATACAATTTTATGGTTATTTCTATCCGACTCCGCCTCCCCACTTTTCCGGATGAATGTCCTTGCATTTCATATTTGACCTTGGTCTCATATTCACAGACGCAAGCCAGATGGGGCCTGACGCCTTTAAGATGGTGTTTATGTGTGGAAGTAAAATAAGCCATTTGGCCTTGACCAAAGTCTCCAAAGATGATAAACCTCCAGAGAAAGACAAAAAGATGCACTCGCCGTATGCGCTCAAATTAATGAGTTACCCCCAAATGGTTGCCACTGCGCTTTTATTTTTTTGTTGTTGTAATTTTTCCTGACCTCTTTGAAGAGCGGAATAACAAACAGCGGCATTTGCATTCCCAGCCTCTCACCCAGTCATAAGTACACACGAGAATACGACAAAGGACGGATTTCAGACCCTCCATGCCGACGGCGTCGAGGACGTAGCGAGAAAAGAACAAGCTGGCATACCCGGTGTATGTCATCCCTTTTATTTATTATCAATAGCGCGAGTGTTTGCTGTGATCTCAGTTGTCATACCATTATTGATACAGCAAATATTTCGCCAGCTTTATCTCCTCCCTCCCCCGAATGTTCTACACAAAGAATCAATAGCGGAGACACGCGCTTGTTTTGCATCCACTTGACATTTTTCCAGCGCCCAAAGGAAAAAGGGGAGCCTCCACCTCGACGATATCCAAACGCAAACACGGAGGCGCCTACTGTCAGACAGAGCCCGAGCCTCCGTGGCACTTGTCACCTTTCTTTTCGACGAAGCGATCGGTCTGTTGTGGGACGATACGGCAGCCTTTTGAAAAATACCCCGGGTGTCACATCTTTTCTGCAGCGTTTTAACTCATATTTTGGGTCTGCCATGAATAAATAATGCCGGGCTTTTATGACGGTGACAGCAGAGTCAAGTCAGAGTCTGGGGGAGAATGGAAAGGGTGTATGCGTGTGTGTTAAGAGTGATGCCAGCGATTTTGTGTGTGTGTGTGTGTGCGCGTGCAGTGTTTCGATAGGATGCAGCAGGACTGGATGTATTATTGATGTGCTGTTAGCACTCCCAGGGAGTTGCAGTCTCATCACAGTTTGCCAAGGGATTAAGAGACTCAAAAAAGCAAAGCAGGAAAATGGCGGAAAGGCACGGAGCGCATGCCTCCTCCAAAATCCCCGTGCCTGCTTCTGCCACAAATGGGCCTTCATTGAACAGAAAAGTACACATCATACAAGACATCTCGACAGGATGGCCACTGTCGAATTATTGAATCGGAGTTCACAAATGAAGCAGCATTTGGAAAGGACATTCCACATGATTACATCCGTTGGCACGGGTGCGAGATGGCCTCGGATGACTGCTTGTAGACGTGCACACGATGAAGTCCCGGTTTACTAAAAGTCGGTGTGTCTATGAAGGACAGGCTGCAATCCCGCCGTCCTCTGTGGGCGCCTCGGAAAAGCACAGCTAAGGACGAGATAAACGAGAGATGATGTACCGTTGGTTTGTGGTTCTTCAATCACGCCGACGCCAAGAACAAAATGGAATTACACACAATCAACGTAATCTTTCCGGCTTTGCTCGTTTGTCATCGCTATACATACCCCACACTGATTTTTGCCTTAGATGACTTCGAGAATTCGCATCCTTCCACGTTTCATTTCTTTCCAGTTTTTTGACAAGAGGGCCAACATTTGGAACAAGCAGAAGGCTCATTCAAATTTCCGGGAACAGGCAACAACGAGTTCTCAAAAACAACCTGATTTGAATTCCCGTCCCTAATTATAGTCAATCATACATAAACTCATTGAAGATGTTTTATTATCCATATTGACATCATGCGTCTATAGCAGGAGTGTCAAACTCATTTTCGTCACGGGCCGATTTGGAGTTACGGCTTCCCCCAGGAGGGCCATTATGACAGTGAAACTACAAAATTATTACCTGTACACAACAAATGAATAGATTGCTTGTTTTGAAATCACTCAAGTCACTTACAATAGTTTTTTCAATTGTAGTTCAAGTGAGTGTAAACAAGGTCTCAAAATTATTCCAAAATCTCAACGTTATTTATTACAAATGGCAATTTGACATTTTATGACAGATTTTAGCCATTTGACACCGATGATTTGCTTTCGTGAGCCACATGAAATGATCTGGCGGGCCGGATCTGGCCCCCGGGCCTTGAGTTTGACATCTGTGATCTGGAGATTCTGCAACTAAATAACAAACATGTTAACCAACTACTGACCAAAAAAAAAAAAAAAAAAAAAAAAGACCTCGTGCCCTGGTGATTTATTTATTTTTTTTCTTTGACTGAGATAATTAACACATTGAAATACTCTCGAGGGAAGCAGAAAAGGGAAAGGCACCCTTGTGGTGACCTTGACGCAGGATTTGATCATAAGTGGCTACAAATACGAATCCAATACTTCTAAAGGGTTCACATTTTTCCCTTGGTATTAAGTGGTATTAAGCGCTAAGCATCTGTTCTTCATTGTCTTCATCCTCTCTGGGCGCATGCGAACGACACACAAACTGAGCGAAAACAGGATTTCGATACGGAAGGCGATGTTTGAAAATAAAGCTCAGAGATGTCCGGGCCCAGCAGGAGAAATACGTTCGGCGCAAGGGGCACCTTCACAGGCGTTGATGAGAAAAGGTAGTTCTTAGCCTCCTGCCATGCATGACCCAAGTGAGCTGGGAAATTGTTAAAAAAAAAAAAAAAAAAAAATAGATGGTGAGATTGAGTCTCGGGAATCCAGCTTGAACCCACATTAAAGACTGATGAGGCCAGAACGCGCCAGCCTTGAAGATCAAACAGAGCGAAGATGCAAGCTGTGAACTCAGCTTTTTATTGATTGATTTATTTATTTATTTTGTTGCCATGTTTGTGTTGAAATATTGACTTTTCGTTGTGAGTGAGTTCGGTCCACTCAGCAAAATTAAACACGCTTGCCATCTTAACCTCATTTGTAATTTATTTATTTATTTATTTTTTTCGAATGGGACCTGGCTTGACGAGGCTGCAGGGACTCAACGGGAGACATTCCAATAAAAAGAAGAAAAGTTTTGCTCGTCTCACAATGGAGACATTCCCAATTTACAGCAGCAAAGTTATGAAAGGAAGAAAGTAGAAGAACAAAAACTATTGGAGCTGCTGTAAAGGCAGAGCCACTCTCGCGGCACCATCTTGAAGTCAGAATAACATCATAGCAAAATAACGCAACACATAAGACACGCTACCAGCTGTATTGCAATTTGAAATATGCAACATTTGATCAATATTTTTTGCATGTGAGGCTAAATTGGTCTCTTAACCCTTTCAGGGATGGTGGTTACCACAGTGGACATCTTACCATGTTATCAGGTTACAGGGAGCATGAAAGGGTTTGTGTGTGAGGAGCGTGCTTCTTTTCCATACTGTGTGTAAAGACCCGAGGCATCTTATTTTGTCAATTGGCGCCAAATCTGCCAAAGTTATCTGCACCATTGCCTGTACGGAACAGTTAGTCCAGGTCAACTTAACAGTACTGTATGTCATGTTTGGCTATTGTTTTATTGGTTTTGTTGGAACCATTTTATTACCAACTATCTCTGCAAATATATATGCAAATGTTCATTTCATGACAGTAAAATGTCACCGTCACAGCCCGACACGCCAAAGACACAAAATCTTCTGTCTTCTGCCTGACAGGTAACATGAGTTTCCTCCCAGTCAGGGGTCTTAGAAACCTGCAATCCTAGTCACCGTAATCCTTAATCTAATGTTCTGTCTGCTATTAAAGCCTGTTGCACTATAAAGCAAAATCATATTAAAGCAGGAAATGCTTTTGGACACGTGATGTCTTTCACAGTGAGTGTGCACAGTATGTGGTCAGCCCGTGTGTCATTTCCCATGAAAAATGAATGTGAAATGACAGCCAGGTAGATGTTAGGTCAAGGAAATGAAGGAGCGCTCTTAAGTAGCTTGCGGCATTGCAGGAGAAGTGGGACATTTACAGTAAAAAAAAAACAACAAAACATTTTAGCATTATTATTCCTCATAAAATTAACCTTTTTCTGTTCAAATTTTCCCTCACTGGGCTGGACTGTAAATTCGGAAAATATTGCAGGATACAACATCTAAAAACCAAGAGGAGGAAGAAAAATGGGAGCAAGCTAGAGGTCAAGTAACGATGTAGTATAGTGAGGAAATGAAGGATCAGTTGTAAAAAACACAAGCAATCAATTTTTTAATTAATTTACTAAGTGCTTTTCATGAAAAAAAAACAATGCAACTCCAAATGCTTTCTTTGTATTCCAAAGCTAAAAATCAACCTCCTCCTGCCACCATGATACACACACACTGTCATGTTCTGTTCTTGTGTACCCCCAGCAGGTGGCAGAAGAGGGACTCTCCTCCCCGCACACCTGTTGCTCATTTAATCAAGCCGAGTATTTAAGGAGTTCTCGAGCTTCGTGCTCCTGTTTGCCTTGTTCCCACTTCTGCTTCCAAGCCACAAATTCTTCTCGACGTCTCAAGCGTTCAATGTTCTCGGTTTTCTGATTCCACCTAGTTGTCTTCGTTCACCTTTGTAAGTTGTTTTTTTGTTTGTTTGTTTTTTTTTTTTTTTGTTATTATTTGTCACCTTGTTTGGTGTTGAATGTGTTTTGGATTTTTTTTGGTATCTTTTTTTCTGACAAGCGTTTTTGTTTTTCACTCATTATTCTGGTGTTGTACCGGCGACTTTTGTTATACTTTGTCTGTCTTATGACCTGTTTATTCTGTAATAAATAGCTTTGTTTATTCTTTCAGAGTTCACGTTTCTGCAGTCCAATTATATTCTGTCCGGAACTTTACGGAAATCCGACGACGCACACATCCACACGGGTAAGTAATATCATGAACTGTAGTGTACGGCTGAGCAATTAGCCTCCGCATGGTATTCTAACCAGTAAATAACTAGCTTTCTACTTATATCTGGGGGACATGGAGTGATTTTTAACTGTCTGTGTCTTCATTGACCTTTTTTTTCAATTGATTGTATTGGGATATCTAATGTTTTTCATTCTTTAAATATTCAACTAGAATGTTACTTTTTAGCACTATATCAGATTTTTAACTCGAGTTTATTGCTTGACATTAGTGTTAAAGTCAACATAATGGGGCCCTATTTTTGTGCCCGGCATGACACGTGTGCATGGGTCGAGATTTATTTTGTTCCGTTTGCGCCGTTGTGGGAGTGAACACAGCCGACTTGATTCCCGGCCACTTGAAGCAGCTCCTCTCATTCCCTTAAAAAATAAGCCTAAAACAAGAACAACAGTTGAGGTGAATCGCAATAAGCCTCAAATGCTAACCAAGTCACTCACTGCACTATTATACATGTATGCACCTTTCGTATTCTCCATTTTGGTTATCGTTTGGTTAAAAGAGCCTTTCCAGTGGCCAGACCTCTGTGACTTCTGTCCATGGCATGTTTCTACTGCAACCGCGTCAGCTTAACCTTGTCAGTACACAGCCCTTTACCCAACTCTGCTTCTTCCATACCTTAGCGGTGCATGCAGATGGAGAATGTTAAGCAAACTCAGTCAGGCATAACTAATCATTCCTGCATATTGCTTCTTGATTTTGACAGATAGCTCTGGTGACTTCACTTTATTAGTATGCGCATAAATATACGGGTGGCCAAATGCTGCCACTGTCTTTTTTTTTTTTTTTTGGTTTTCAAAAAACAAACTTGAGGCAGGGTCATGACATTTTTTTTTAAACATCCAATTGGACATCTGGTTTAAGTTTGAGGAAAACGCAAGATTATCAGAAAATGCCACCATCGACTGGGAATTATTCCATTACAAAGCAGCCATCCATAGCGGAAGTAGGCAAAATGCTGTTTTGATTTTTCTCTTATTTCTTTTGTTGGCCAACTATTACTTCCGACCATTTCATCTCAAAGAACAGACCAGTTCTCGAGGAGGAACGTTGTCATCGGTTTCTCGAGCTAGATTGCTGTCTTTTCTCCGACAAACATGGCACAAAGACCGGTATTAGTACAGAGGTTCATCGTCGGGCACAAAAATTTCATCTGAATGCAGAAAATGATTGCCCATTTGACATCCTACAAAGACCAATGCTTGCAAAGTCACACTTTTCAGTTACAGGCTCCATGCTTCATGTCTGTGCATTTAATTATGTCACATTTCAATTTATGCATTCCAGAAATAATTGATTTGTTTTCTGCAGTGTCGTGACCTTTTGCAATCATTTTGAACAAAAACCAAAAAAAAAACCCAACAAAAAAAACATCTGAACATGAGTCAATAAAATGTTTTTTCACTCCCTGAATTGTATTTTCCTCTTTTTGCCAATTTCAAAAAACGCATAAATTGGCATGAAAGAAATAACCAAGGTTATTATCGTTAAGGAAACGAACGAAAGAACCGCATCTAAAGTTGAAAATCAATTTTGGTGAGCGAAATTTAAAAAGCTATGAAAAACGAAATGAAACTTTTCAGATATAAAATGAGATAAAAACAAGCTGCAAATAAAGCGAAAATGACCTTTCGTCATTGTCAATTCATTTCATAAAAGAGCTTTTGGGGTTTATTTTGAAACATATTTTTTGCAGTATTACGGGAAGGTCAAATAGTGGTTTGGAAATTGTAGTTTACTTATTGTGATGCTTTTAGTTTTTTGTTTTTTTTTTTAATGTAATTTAAGCATCGAGATCCACATAGAAATATGGATGACGGTCATCAAAGTGACATTGCAAGGCTCAGTTGAGCTCGTAAGACTCGCGAGCGCGTTGATCTTAAGATGGATTCATCTCAGCCATAGGTCACTAATAGGGAACCAAAATGCCGTGCCTGGACAACCGACAGCTCGGGTTTTGCCAAGGACACTTTGCCTTTGGAGTTTTCATGCATCAGATGATTTTCTATGGAATACAAATGATATTTGATGAAATGGCCTTTGCTTTTGAAGCCTCTTCATTGATGTACAACATGTGGACGACGGATGTCGGTAGTGGACCAAGTCGGTATAGTTGTTGCTCAAGGGAATATCATTATGCCTATTGTTCTCTCACCCACTGCCCCTGGCTTCTCTACAGTGAATCTGAATTCGTGCCTCGGCCGCCAAGTGCTTGCTCACATGGGGTTCATTTTTTTTTTTTTTTGGTTTTCTTAAATCCACACTCGACGTGTGATAATGTCATTTCTGAATCGTCACAAAATACATCAAATCGACTTGCCTTGCTCACTTGCTATGCAGCAGAATTGTAATGTTGAATGTGAACCCTCACTTGTGATCGAGCCACCCAAGAAAGGCAAGTTGACCCGTGAATGCGAATTGAATACGAAGATGAATGAGGAACGCTGCTTGTTTGCGTTGCGCCAAAGTTAAGTGAGACGGAGTGAGGTGGCCAGGGTGAGAAAAGTTGCCGAGCGAGGAATTTGGAGATCGCTAATGAGCTAACCAAGGGGCACATTAGTTATTTATTTCTTGCACTTTTTTCGTTAAGAGAAGGGCACGGCAATTAACTCGGAGGAGATGACACCCCTAAGCACCCTTGTGCTCGTCTGCGAGTCAACACCGGAGCGCCCTCCCTTCCACAGTATAATTTTCTGTATTGTAAAGCCTCAAAACTCGATGCAGGTTGGCAATGCAGTGGGTAGGTAAGTGTTTGTGCAGCAAAGACTCGCCGAATGTATTTTATTAAATCCCCACCCCCTCCATCCCGACATCGCCCGATGTGCAGCAGGCCACAAAAGTCTCTATTCACGTGAAATAAATAAAGTAGTCTTATGTTTGTTGAACCCTGACACTAGAGTTCTTTTTTTTCCTTTCAAACCAGCAGAGAAATACCTTTTGTGTGAAGGGTGAGGTAAAAATTTGAAATGATTTTCTGCTCGTCTTGTTCGCTACCCCGTGACAGCAAGATTTTGGTGAAAACAAACAAGCTGCCGAGTGCGACTCTTCAGCAACTCGCATGACATTTCTCCTCCGTCTTACCGGCAATTGCACCATATGCCTGAAGGGCTTGATTGCAAGAGCACTTAGTCATCAAGTGTACAGCTCTTGATGTCATTAACCTAGACGCTAGAAACGCCGCTAATTCATATTCAGCGGGGATTTCAGACGCAACTGTATTACAATGCAGGGGGAAAATGAATCGTAATTGGATTCAGTTCAGTCGGCCGGCTATTTGTGGTAATTCGTTTACTTTTGTCCTTTTTGCGTGAAATACTTGGATTGATCTTCTATTTTCATATCAAACAAAATGGTACTCAAAGCCGCCTCTTATCACAGAACACAGATTATAGTCCTCTCTGCGAATCAATTAAGCGCAAAGACTGTGGTAAAATTTTGCACGGCAAGGAATTGGCTTGGATGAGGGAACCGCATATCTGCACGCCCCCCCCCCTCTGTTTATCCCTCCAAATATATTCCCATCTTTCTGCCCTCTCCGTGTCTAAATCATTACTATAAAGACATTTTCCGCATTATACTTACTTTCATTAAAAGATCTCATTCCCACACAAAATATGCAAAATATGGCATTAAGTGAAGAGGCGGCAGACCAAACGAAAGCATTCATTTCAGTTTCGAAAGATCGCTTCTCCTTCCATCGCAACACATTCCGTTCTCGAGGGATATGGGGAGGAGGGGTGGGGGGTTTTTTTGGGGGGTGGTATTTGGGTTTTCAGACGAGGACCTTACCCCCTAAGAAGAGGCAAAAAGAAACTCCTTCCACTGTGCATCAGCAAGGAAAGGAATGCTTACATTAGTATAAATTAGCATGCATCGAAAACCAAGGTCACAAAAAAATGTTGCCCTTCACACCGTGAATACAAATTCAGGGTTACTTTTGTCCTTTTTGCGTGAAATACTTGGATTGATCTTCTATTTTCATATCAAACAAAATGGTACTCAAAGCCGCCTCTTATCACAGAACACAGATTATAGTCCTCTCTGCGAATCAATTAAGCGCAAAGACTGTGGTAAAATTTTGCACGGCAAGGAATTGGCTTGGATGAGGGAACCGCATATCTGCACGCCCCCCCCCCTCTGTTTATCCCTCCAAATATATTCCCATCTTTCTGCCCTCTCCGTGTCTAAATCATTACTATAAAGACATTTTCCGCATTATACTTACTTTCATTAAAAGATCTCATTCCCACACAAAATATGCAAAATATGGCATTAAGTGAAGAGGCGGCAGACCAAACTAAAGCATTCATTTCAGTTTCGAAAGATCGCTTCTCTTTCCATATCGCAACACATTCCCTGTTCTCGAGGGATATGGGGAGAAGGGGGGGGCGGGGG